GGGGGGGGGAGGTCAGAAACTTTTAAAAACTTAAAAGAAAGTCACTTAGCAGGTACTGTAGACTGAGCCTTGCTCTTCACAGTGCCTTGGTAGACCCCAGAACAGCCAAAAAAGAGCCCCAAATAGCTAAAAGCCAGCAGGCAGAAGGCAGCCATTTTGTGCTCTTCTCCGCTCCTGCTCCTGCTCCTGCTCCTTTCCCCTCCCCTCTCTCCACCTAACAGCTGATCAGCATTGGTCTGAACACTTCCTAGGCAGCTTTTAAAGCAAGTATGCACGTTTCTACACAAGCAGGTTTCTACACAAGCAGGTTTCAACTCAAATGGAGCACCTTTTCACCCAAACAAACAGCTAAATTTTACATTTTAAAACGACAATACCAGGCAGTCCCAGCTCTCTCTCCCAGCTCTCTAACTGCTTGGATGAGCAAGGAAGCAAACAAGCAGCCTCTTCACTAACTGAAAGTTTGAATTTCCCCACTTTCCCTGCCTTCCCTGCATATTAGGTATGCTAATATCTGTGCACTGGAGGATTGTGGGAGGAACATCCAGCCCCTGATGGGGGTCCTGTGGGGCACTCCAAAACACTGAGTAGCTCTCTTGGCCTTTTTCAGGACTGGGGCTGTGCAGCCCTGTTCTGATTAGGAGGTGCAGCAAGGGGTTCAGAGGCCATTCCAACTTTTACCTGGCAGGGGAGATACCATGATCATCAAAGTGGTTTTCCCAGGGTGAGGTTCATCTATTGCAGTGGTCCCCAACCTTGGGCCTCCAGATGTTCTTAGACTACAACTCCCAGAAGCCTTCACCACCACCTCTGCTGGCCAGGATTTCTGGGAGTTGAAGTCCAAGAACATCTGGAGGCCCAAGGCTGGGGACCACTGATCTAGTGCACTTTGGATGCGCTGACCCCTGTGATTTCCCCAAATATGGGGGAATATGTTTGTGGTTTCCCCTGGTTTTTCTAGAATTACTCTTTCCCCTTTTGTCCTTGGCTGTTTTCACTGCCTGCTGCCATAGGCCTGTTGGTCTTGCTGGTTTTCCAGGTGGGCTCCAGGAAGCAGATCCTAGAAAGCCAGCAGTGCAGAGGTCCAAACAGCAAGCGGTCTCTGGTGCTAGTTCAGAGGCCTCCCAGCATGGCAGTGGGGGGCTTCTGGCTGGTGGTGGTTGAACCCCTTTTTTACTGTATTTGTTCCATAAGACGCACATACTTTCTCCCCCACTATTGGGGGGGAAGTGCGTCTTATGGAGCAAAAAATATGGTATTTCCTTTTTGATATGACTCTGAGAAATGAAAGAATAAGTTTTCAAACTGTTTCATGGAAGATTTTTGTATATTTTAAAAAGTGGATAAACCTCACAATAGAACTGGGTACTATGCATAATAATATATGCATAATTTCATGATGACAGAAGGGGACGACAGAGGATGAGATGGATGGACAGTGTCATTGAAGCTGCCAACATGAATTTGACCAAACTCTGGGAGGCAATGGAAGACAGGAAAGCCTGGCATGTTCTGGTCCATGGGGTCACAAAGAGTCGGACACAACTTAACGACTAAACAACCACAACAACTATGCATAATATTTTTTCAAAGTGTTGATTCAGATATTCTAACTTTGAAATATTAAAATTCATTTCAGAAAAGTTGTTTAAAATACAATTTGTAAATATAGAACTGTATTTATTTTTATGTTAAAAATCATACTAAAAGATGAGACTAAGTCATGTACAGTTTCATACTGATATATTTACTAGATTTCTATTTTCTTCTCATGTATTTGACCAAATTCACTATTTGTAATATAATATATGTAAATATGTAGTGATTGTAAATACGTTTGTGCTTTCTTTTCTACTGCTGTTTCAGATATATGTAATTTGTAATAAAATCTGCACCCAGACAGAAAAGATACTCTAATGTCTTTCACTAAAAATGCCCACCAACAAAGCTGTAATGGGAATAAAACAACTGGGGCTTTGCTCCAAAGTGCCAAAATACAACAGGCAGTGAAATCTAAAAGTCCACCTACTTATTATTAACTGGCAGAACCTCCTGGCACTATTCCTTTTTCCCCCTTCAAGGTAACGATTATTTTTCTTTTCAGAAGTCACTGCATTCTCTTCCTTTTTATTCTTGGGAGGTGTGAGGACAGAGTGGGTGGATGATGGTGGTGATTGCCTCAGGCTTCAGCTGCTAATTTCAGCTCTGTCTGCCAGTAGTTCTAAATAAATTTTTAACCATTTCAATTGAATGTGTGAATTTTAATTTTCCCTTTATGGAAGAAATAGCAAACTTAAACATTTGCTTCTCTCCTAGAAATGGTGCCATCTCTTAAATGCACACTTTCATTCTAGACTCCCTCATACATAAATAGTATTTACATCTAATTTGAGGATTTTTATGGTATGTGTTTAGCTTCTCATATTGCAGTTCCGTGTTGCTATACTCTCCTGTAAGAACTGCATGACAGTGATTTCCGAATAATTCAGTAATAGTGTATAACACTTACAATATTTACAAACACAGACTGTGAGGTAAAGATTAGATATTACAGGGAGGAATGTAATCACAAAAAGCTTATGAAAACATTACCACACTCCTCAAAATTTGTATTTGTTCGTAGTAGCAGGTATAACTAGGTATTTGGCTTTGAGAAATAAACACACATTGGTGGCTATGGACTCTTACTGCAGCCAACAGTAATCAAGAATAATCTAAATTACTTTTAAACTCATCCATCATTTTAAAAGATGTGTTTTGAAAGAACTTTTATTCTGTAAATAAAAACTGGTTCTATAGTGTCCTTATAGATTCAGCCTAGGAATTTAATCCAAATCTGTCTTCCAAATGATAGATGAGTTCTCTTACTGTGTTTGATAAGCCCTTCCTTTTTTTTCAAGGAAAAAAAAAAGCTTGTTAGTTATACTCATTTTTATATGTTAAAGCCGGGGTGAGCAACTTGTAGTTTCCAGAGGTTTAGCTTATTCACCACACCTAACAAAGCCCATGGTCATAACTGATGGTATTACTACTGAAGTCCAGAAACATGTGGAGGATTTCATACTTTCCTAAACCTAAAGTTTCCTAAAGTTAAGGCAAAATAAAACAAAATCTCACCTTAATATATTATTTTGATTAAAAAAAAACAAGCACAGCATATTTTGGAGTCCTAGTTAACTTCTAAGATCCTCTCAGACATCCAGTGCTGAGGGAAATGCATCAGTAGCTCATCCCACAACAATATTGGATATTTATTATTATCTTTCAAAATGGAACCCTGGCACATGTGGAGAGTGACTTGAAAGCTGTTCCTGTTAAATATCTGGTTGGATATATATTACTATAATCCAGAGCACTTACTTGGCTAATGGATAACCATGCACAGCCCTCTGGATGTTTTAGTTTACTACTCTTATGCACTGTAATCAGTTTAGCCAATGGTAAAGGATTGTGGGCATTGTTGCCCAAAACATATAAAGGACACCAGCTTGCCTGTCCTGTTTTCTACTGTCTTGGCAGAGGTGCCAGGTCCAATGGGATGCCAGTTTTGAAAGATTCAAAGCCTCCACTCTAAAAAACAAACAAACAAAAAAGACCTCATAATAAAATAGCTTCTTTGTGGCCTCTGAATCACACTCTAGGTGATCTGGGCATGCGTGGAGCTTCGCTGGAATATTCTAGAGCTTCTGCAATCAGAAAAGATATATTAGTACAAGCGCTTCCCCACTAGTATACAGTGGTGCCTTGCTTAACGGCGATAATCCGTTCCAGGAAAATCGCCGTTAAGCGAAAACATTGTAAAGTGAAAATAAAAAGCTGATTGAAACGCATTGAAAACCTTTCAATGCGTTCCAATGGGCTTAAAACTCACCGTCCAGCAAAGATCCTCCATATGGCGGCCATTTTCGCTGCCTGTATAGCGAGGAAACCGTCCCTAAACACAGTGGGGAGCCATTTTATTTCCCCGGCAGCCATTTTGAACCGCCAATCAGCTGTTGGAAAATCGTCGTTTTGCGAAGAATCGGTTCCCGAAGCAGGGAACCGATCATTGCAAAGCGAAATTCCCCCATTTAGACCATCGTTTTTGCGGTTGCAAAAAGATCGTCGTAATGCGGATTCACCGTAATGCAGGGCAATCGTAAAGCGAGGCACCACTGTATGTACATTGGCACCAAGGCTCTCCCTTCAGTTTCTTTTCAACCACTGCATTGAGAGCCTCGCTCATAGCTTCTGTGAGCTTTTTCTCTGAAAACAAAGTAGAGAAAAGAAAAGAAAACCCTTTATTATGTTAATCTTATTTCTTTACCAACTATTTGCTTTGGCCTTCAAGTTGAAGCTCCCCCCCCCCATGGTCTTC